GGGGGAGGATTGCTGTGAGTTCCAGACCAGCCTGGGCTACAGAGTGAGTTCCAGGTCAGTCTCAACTACATAGTGAAACCCTGTCTCAAAAAACAAAAAGCAAAAAAAAAAGACAGTAGAGTTCTTTCATAAGTTTTTTTTATTTTTGTTTGTTTGTTTGTTTTGTTTTTTAAGGCAGGGTCTCACTATGTAGTTGAGACTCACTATGTAGCCCAGGCTGGTCTCGAACTCAGTGATCCTCCTGCCTCAGCCTGCCGAGAGCTGGGATGACAGGCGTGAGTCACCACACCCGATATCCTTAATAAGTTTTTAAAAGAAAGGATAATCTTACTTGTTTTTATCAACTATTTATTAAAGCATTCCTCTGTGAATTAAGCTCTTTGTATTTCTGATTTTTAGCCTTTCATGGAGTGATTCTACTGAGAGAGAGCCTATGTATTGGGAATTCCTACACATGCATGTGTGTACACACACACACACACACACACACACACACACACACACACACGGGACTCCGTTGGCTGGGCTGTGTGGTAGCATTGCTACTCCCAGGTCTCAGCAGCTTGAGCAAGGAAGGGTATCTCTCTCATTATCATACTGGCAGGGAGCTCTGCTTTTATCGTTGCTTGGTGATCCCGGGTGATGGGACAGCATATTGTTGTACATTAGCAATTAAATATAGCAGCTCAGAAGTGCTCACTTAGCTTCAGGCGTGTTGGCCAGAACTTGTCGTGCAGCCCACGTGATTTCTGGGAGCTGGGAAACGCAGTGCTACCTGTGCCAGGGCCACAGAGAGCTGGGAGTACTTGCTAGACAGCGCGTCTGTCACTGTCCGTCTTTCTGGTTTCAGGCGTTTGGTCTCTGGTCCCTTAAAGCAAAACACACTCACTACCACCCTACTGTAAGGCACTCGCAGGTCTGGCCGATCACAGAGCTCAGGACCCCGAGGTTATGCGGGATGGCAGTGTCCAGTGGGCTCCTTGTGAGAAAAGGGTCCTCTGCCTCCTCCAGAGACTTGTGGGAAAGCTGACAAATGACCCAGCGCCCCAGCATAATAGACGATACAGCAGTGAGTGGGGATCACCTAATAACAATAAACGCTGATTTGAAAGGGGCAGGAAGAGGGGGCAGAGGTGGTCTGCAGCAGATTTTGTAACCAGCTGGGACTGGGCCCTGCCGAGGAGGGCTGTGCATGTGGCTGCTCTGCTGGCTCCACCCTCGGGCTTCCTCCCCTCCCCCCTCCTCTTCCTCCCAAAACAAAGGCATTTTTTGCTACAGTGGCACCTATGCCTCTCCAGAGTCTCACATTCTGCAAAACTGAGCCATAATTTCCTTCTTTGTAAATACAAAAGTGCATACATATCTACTGAGGTCCCAAGGGAAACATGGGGGCATTGCTTCGTGAAATTCCACTGAAGTGAAAGTGGAATAATTTTAAACCAATCCACGTGGTCAAAGAAAATAGAAGACAGTAGCAGAGAAATACTTATGAACCGTGCCTAGTCCTTAAAATATTAGTAGTGCTGATTTTGAAAAGATTTGATACAGCTGTGTTGGGAGGATGCAGGAGAGCTAAGAGCAACATGTGAGACAACTATGCTGTGAACGAGAGGTGATGCCTGAAATTGTCAAGAAATAGAAATACATTCACGTAGAAAAACAGAAGTGAATACCAAGGAGGAAACAGCTAAAATAGCATTATTATCCCTGCAGACCAGGACTCAACAGAAGTAGGGCCAATGTGTCTGACTTGTAAAGCTCTGAGCACTTTTTTAATGATTAATTTTTAAAAGAGTTTAAAAACCAACCCCCAAGTTTTTTAGTGAGTGTTAAGTAGAAATAAGGAACAAAGCTTTTCCAGTCCCGTGCACACAGCAGGCGTTTGGTGAGGACCAGTTTCCCTCCTCCTGTCGGCGAAGCAGGCCTTGCGCTTGCAGAAGTGTTTTCATGAGCCAGCGGTTAGGTGGCTGGCGGAGCAGCAGTGCGGGGCACGTCACAGAGCAAACTGTGCCCTTCCAGTCTTTTTAATGGATGGTTTTATTTTTCTTGGAACCGTATCAGTGTGATGGTTACTGTTTCTCAGAAAATTGCCACCTGTGCAACTGACACACGGAAAATCATCCCGTTGAGTGGGTCCAGTGAGATAGGCACACAACAGATGTAGATACCTGACGACTTGAAGTTACCCGAGTAAGCTTGAAAAGAGTCCTGTCCTGTGCCTGGCTCAGACTGGCTAAGGCCAGGGCACTTGCGGGCTCTTCCGTAGTCATACCGGTCCGCTGCTTTATTTCCATGGGCACAGTGCCCGTCCGGCCACCCCTGTGTCCCGTGGGCCCTTCGGTGGTCACAGTGTTGAAAGCCAGGCCATCGGAAGAAGCTCTGAAGTGTCCCCGGATGGGTCACGCGGCCTAGCGGACAGAGGCCTCAGACCTGGCCGCCTTGGTGTGGCCAACGCAATGCCAGATGTTCCTTTCTTCATCAGAAATGTGGTGTGGGCGGGGATGTAGCTCAGTGGTGCCACCGCCTGCCTCCCAAGCGCAAGGTCCCAAGTTTGATCCCGGTACCATTAAAGAAAAGAAAAGAAATGTAGAGTGTGCTGGCTCCGTGCCACGCCTGCGGGTGTCTTGTGACACCTGCTGTCATAGAATTCCCATCTTAACAGAAAATGTTTGTGAACTTACGTAAGCCAGGAAGGTAATGCTCCAGCCAGACCACGGGAGCAGTGGGACGCATTGTGTGTGCAGAGGGTCTGGTAACCTTCAGCGGTGGCTGTGCTGACCGAGTGCCCGTGACAGATCGTGGCCTGAGAAGGAAACGTGTTGCCTGACTTCCTCCTCTTCCTTTCTCTTTGTAGATAAGGTGCTCCGAGTCCCTTGCAGCTCTCTCCTGAGGAAAGTCCCTATGCTCTGCTCTTGCCGTAATGCCAGGCCTTTCTGACTTACACAGTGGAGCTGTGACGCTGGAAGATTTGCACGGAGGTTCCGGCCACGTCTGTCCGTCACTTGAGCCAGTCCTCTGGATGGGAAAAGATTTGAGCCTGATAATTACCGTGTTTGAAATCTAGTTCTCTAGTGTGAACTGGTTTATAGACTGGGCCCCTGACCCATGAGCCACCCAGCCAGTTCTTGTCAGGAGCTGGTTGAAAACTGTCCTGTGCACGTAGCAGGGATGGCACAGGAAGAGAGCCGTTGCGGTCAAGTGCCGTCCACCTTTTACCATGGTGCCAACCAAGAACTTGACCTGTCCACCAAAGTGTACAAAAGGGAATCCGGAAGTCCCTATTCTGTGCTCGTGGACACCAAGATGAGCAAGCCACATCTCCACGAGACGGAGGAACAGCCATATTTCAGGGAGGCAAGAGCAGTGTCTGACGAGCGTGCTGTCAAGGAAGACCGGGAGAATTCTGATGAGTCGGAGGAGGAGGAGGAGGAGGAGGTGTCTTACAAAAGGGAGCAGATCATAGTGGAGGTAAACCTTAATAATCAAACGTTAAATGTGTCTAAAGGGGAAAAGGGTGTCTCTTCTCAGTCCAGAGAGACTCCTGTTCTTAAGACAAGCAGTGAGGAGGAAGAGGAAGAGAGTGAGGAAGAGGCCACAGATGACAGCAGTGATTACGGAGAGAGCGAAAGGCAGAAGAAAAAGGAGAAGATAGAGGAGAAAGTCAGCGTCACCCGAAGGCGAACGCGGAGAGCTGCCTCTGTGGCCGCAGCTGCCACGTCCCCTTCTCCCAGAGCCACGAGAGGGCGTAGGAAGAGTGTAGAGCCGCCTAAGCGTAAGAAGCGGGCGGCCAGAGAGCCCAAGGCGCCAGTCCAGAAAGCTAAGTGTGAAGAGAAAGAGACTCTGACCTGTGAGAAGTGCCCCAGGGTGTTTAATACTCGCTGGTACCTGGAGAAGCACATGAACGTTACTCACAGGCGCATGCAGATCTGTGATAAGTGTGGCAAGAAGTTTGTCCTGGAAAGTGAGCTGTCCCTTCACCAGCAAACAGACTGTGAAAAAAACATTCAGGTAGGTCTCATCACCGAGAGGGCGCACTTGCCAGGGTAGAACCTGGCTGTTGAGAGTCATCTGGTTCTGCCCAAGAGAACGAGTACACTAGAGGCTGAAGGGACAGAGTTCACCAGTTTGGCGTTTTAGAAGCTCCTGCGTGGGTCTTTCCAAAACCAAGGCTTGCATCCCACGTGCAGTGATTGACGCTGGACTGGGGGGAGCCCAGGCACTGGAAGGGGGAGCTGGTAGAGATGACAGCCAGGACCACAGTCAGCAGTGACTCTGAACTGAGACTCGCTGCTGTAGGACGCTTGATAGAATTCATTCTGGCATCTTCTGGTGAGGTGGGAGACCCCAAGTGAAAGGCAGGAGTAGAGGAAGGCCCTTTTCTGTTTAAAAGGGATGCCAGACTAGTGCAGCTGACGGGGACAAAGCCCTAAAGACTCAGACCGGTGGACGTGGAAGACCTGCAGGAGTGAGTGTGCTTTACCCGTGGAGCGATGACTGCACTAAATTTGTCAAGAGGCTGAGCCGAGGGAATGTGCACACGTTGACAGAGGCCGAGCTGAGTGAGAATGGTGCCACCTGGCAGTAGGGTTACCTGTGCTCCCGTGAGTGTGGTTAAGGTAACACCGCGGAGGCCTGCACGGATAGGGTGAGAGGTGAGCTGCGCGGACTGCAGCTCAGGTGGGTGCATGTGTGTTTGCCTGTTAGTGCTGGTCACGAAAGGTAAGTCTGTGACGTCTCTAAGACACGTGCAGTAGAAATGTTTTGTACCAGGCCAGGCGTGGTGGCGCACGCCTGTAATCCCAGCACTTGGGAGGCTGAGGCAGGAGGATCGCTGTGAGTTCGAGACCAGCCTGGACTACATAGTGAGACCCTGTCTCAAAAAAACCAAAAAAAAAAAAAAAAAAAGAGAGAGAGAGAGAAATGTTTTGTACCAGATTTAACCTTCTTTTTTAAGGGACAAATTATCTCTTGTTTTTTGGAGTGTTGCTAATCTTGGTGGTTACTTTTAATTTTTGCTTATCTTCTCTTGCTTTTAATCAACTGTTGAGATCATTGCCTTGCCTAAAAGATATTTTTTTAAAAATATATAAATAACCTTTGTTAAAAACCCACTGCAAGCGCCACCTAAGTGGTTCTGGCACCTGTCTCCCAAGCACAAGAACTGGAGTTCAATCCCCAGTACCAAAAAAAAAAAAAAGCCAGCAACGCTGTGTTTGATTTATTGACTCTGCCTGGAGCTCAGCAAGCTGTCTAAGAGTCACAGAACCGCACAGCACCTCTGCAGATGCCCACGCCCGCCTTGGCCCAGAGGGCTGGCTGCAGAGGCTCAGCCCAGCCGGAGCAGGGGGGCGGGTGCCTGGATTCTGCGTGGCTCAGCGCCATCTGCACACAGGGTGTGGGCTGGTGGTGTTTTCTCACCTTAAATTTGCACTGAGTTATAGAAGCAATTCGCTCTTTTTGACTACTCACCGTTCCTCCATGTATGTTTAAACTCGTGTTAGTGTTTTGTGGGTTCTGCTGAGTGAACTCCTGCCACATTCCTAAAGACGGATGGGGCTTTGTCCTGATGCCCTGGCGGACAGCAGGAAGTGCGGCCCTGCCGCAGCACGGCCTGCGAGTACAGGGTTGGGGTGGGGGAGTGTCCTTCTTGAGAGCGAGTCTGCAGAGCGCACTGACTGCTTCCCGTGCACGTCAGAGTCTGCGGTTACCAAGAACTGTTTCATATTTCGCTTTAACCAGAAATTTTTGTTTTTGGTACCGGGGATCGAACTGGGACCTTGTGCTTGTGCGGCAGCTGTGCTAACTCCCCTGCCCAGAAATGTTTTATTTTGATGCGCTTCCTGCCTGATTTTCCAGGTGATTAATGATTCATAGCGTAAGGGACTGGCGGTGGATGCCTATGAGGAAGACAGGGCCAGGCTGCAGGGTGAGAGGGAGAGTGGAGCGCACCGTTGAGAGTCGTCTTCCGCCAGGGGAGTGCTTTGCACGGACGAGGGCTTGACGCTTGAGAGCACATAATAAAACCTCAGTCCTGCGCATGAATAAATGCTCTGAATGCGTCTTCTAAGGTGTCAAAACGTTTTTTATCCTCCTGCAGATCTGTGACCATAACTGTATGTTCTGCCTTGCCTTTATGTCATGGAAAACCAGCTTGTGTTCTGTGGTGAACACCTGTTAATTGCAGGTGACCCGTGAATGTAGGAGGTGCTGCACTTGATAATCCACATATTAAATGAACGTGAAGTGTTTTTCCTTAGGAACAATACTCATGTGACATTAGCAGCAATCAGTTCTTTGATATTAGTGGAACTTTCCACCACTTCTTGGCTTAGTGTTTGCCACTGTTTTCATACTCGCAAAGGGTCTGAAAAAGATTCATCTTGGAAAATAGAACGTACACGTGTTGGCGCTGGAATCTGGACCTTCTGAGGAGGAGTAGCATTTGTCTGGGTCCCGGCCAGCGCATCTGTTTCATCTGCCAGGTCAGGGTGGCTTTCTCTAAAGCCCCAGTACATAAGATTATTTCTATTTATCCTGCTCAGTGTGTTTCCTGTAATAAATCATTCAAGAAACTCTGGTCCCTGCATGAACATATCAAGATCGTACATGGATATGCAGAAAAGAAATTTGCCTGTGAAATTTGTGAGAAGAAATTCTATACCATGGCTCACGTGCGGAAACACATGGTTGGTAAGTTCCCCTGCTTGCTTGCTTTCATACCTGTCATTTCCCTGTACTCCCAGGTCCCCTACACGCAGCGCAGGACAGGACACAGCTCACTGCTGGACTTTACTCAGCTCCGACGCGTCACGACCAGCGTGCCCCGTCCGCAGTGTGCACTGCGTGCTGCGCTCTCCCCACCCAGATTTCTTCCCAGCACTGTTCCTTATTCTCCTCTTCAGAACAGGACTCTTAATGTAAAGCCGCCTTACACCCAACATCTGTCTTTTCCGGTTTGCACTTTCTGGTGGGACTGTTTTGAGCGTAAGTGCGTTCTGTGTTGCAGCACACACGAAAGACATGCCATTCACGTGTGAAACCTGCGGGAAGTCCTTCAAACGCAGCATGTCCCTCAAGGTGCACTCCCTGCAGCACTCTGGAGAGAAGCCTTTCAGATGCGAGGTAAGGCCGGCCGCAAGCCGCCAGCCTCCATGGGACACGCGAGCCCTGGCTAGGGAGGGCAGTGTCCCGCGTGCCTCACGACCAGCTCTCGGGGTGACGGGAACAACATGGAATGGCTGGGTTTCCCTCGCGTGGGCACTCAGAGCGGTTGAACGCGCTCCGGGGTGGTCACGGGGAGATGTGCCTTCCCCGGACTCGGCGGCCGCGGTCTGTCTTGGGCTCACGGCAGGCTGTGTCCCCTGCAGAATTGTGACGAGCGCTTCCAGTACAAGTACCAGCTGCGCTCCCACATGAGCATCCACATCGGCCACAAGCAGTTCATGTGCCAGTGGTGCGGCAAGGACTTCAACATGAAGCAGTACTTCGACGAGCACATGAAGACGCACACGGGTGAGGCCTCTCGCTGGGACCATCTGTGGCCCTGTGTCTTAAAATCTAAACCCCAAGTTGGCATCTCACTGGGAATTCCACGTTAGATCTGTCTTACATAAGGAAAGAGATTTATAATCCTGAAAAGTTTGGCTTTCATACCTCCTTTTGTTTGGTACCAGAGATCAAACTTGCTGCGCTTGCCAGGCAGGCAGTGGAACCACTGAGCTAAATCGCTGGTCCTCGTACCCCCATTTTTAAAAGGGTTGTTTGTGAATCCCTTCTAACTGCGGTGTCTTTAAGATAATGGGTTCGTTCTTGAGTCCAGGAACTCCTGAGATCTTGTTTCCTGTGTATTATGTGTTTACATTCACTATTTCTCTAAGGGTTCTGGGCCATATAAGGATGAAGGACACTGCTTCAAATAGAAGACTCTTAATCTTCTTAGTTAGGGTTTTGTTTTGTTTTGTTTTGTTTTGCCGGGTGTAGTGGCACACACCTGTAATCCCAGCACTCGGGAGGCTGAGACAGGAGGATCATCACTAGTTTGAGGCCAGCCTGGGTTTAAGGGAGTTTAAGACTGTCGTGGACTAAACAGCGAGATCCTGTCTCAAAATAATAAAATACTGTTTTGATTTAATTTAATTTACCAAAATGCACAGCTTTCAGGAACAGTACATGGAGGGAAGTTACATAAATGTTGACCAGGATCTGTGGCACGGATCTGAGTCCTGTAGCCGTGTGATTACCCAGGCTCCAGAGAGCCGGCTAAACGAACGGTTCCCCTGGAAACAGGGCCGCTGTTCCGCAGTCTGCACTGGTGTTCTGGGATTCGCCAGCCTTGCACAAAGTGGAGAGCGTGAACCATCTTTGGGTGCCTGTGTCAAACCTCATCACAGGATTCCCGTGCACAGAATAGCAGCGCCGGGGGCGGCATAGGGCTCGTCTCGCTTACCCTGCTGCTGTTCTTGCTTCACTCACGCTGAGGAAAATCCTCCCGTGGCTGGGTCCCGTTATCCCATTGCTCTATGGAAGTCCTAAGAAAAATGCCTGGCTGGCAGTGTTCTGTCCGCCAGAGTGAGGTAGAAGCCACAGGGTCGGACCTCAGAAGGAAGTCGGAACAAGCCCGCCGGAGGAGAGCAGGGTCCAGCCAAGCACCCCGCCGCGGCCCCTCCTAATCCAGGGCCCTTGCATAGTTTCTTGGCTCTGAGAGGACTCAGGATTTTGGTTGTTACTCGGTAGGAAACTGTGGGACTAGGTAGAACGTCAGTTGTTTTTAAGCAGAAGTCGTGTCACACGGTGCTCGGCAGGCCGCGGGCGCTTCACCTCTGCCGTGCGTTTGCGAGGAGCCGGCGCTGTCTGCTCCACATTCGCGTCGCCTTGCCGAGCTCCTGGCCTCTTCTTCCTCCTCGCCTCTCTCCTCCTTCTGCACGCCTCTCTTACCCTTTGTCCTCTTTTTTTTTCTTTTGGACCTTTAATTGTCCATAACATGAAACCAAACTATATATTTTCTGATTTTAGTTAGTGAATTAAACTTTATGTTAAGTATTTTTGGTTTTGCTTTTTGGTACCGGGGATCAAACTCGGGACCCTGCACTTGCAAGGCAGGCAGCAGAACCACTGAGCTAAATCCCCAGCTCTTAGGTTAAGTATTTTTTATCAACTGGTTGAGTTGGACATTTCCTTTTTCTTCTAATGGAATATGAATATTCCATTAAAATATTCCATATATGGAATATTCACTCACACTTTTATTTTTCTCATAAAAAGAGTAAAACAGCTGGGTGTGGTACCACACACCTGTCATCCCAGCACCCAAGAGGCTGAGGAACTCAGGAGGATCACAGAATCCGCGGGCAGCCTGGGCTACATAATGAGTTTAAGGCCATCCTGGAATATATAGCACAACCCTGTCTCCAAAAACCAAAAAACAATGAAAAAGGAAGGAAACAGGAAGGAAGGAAGGGAGGGAGGGGAAGAAAAAATAAAGAAAAGGAAAAAGAAAAATTCATGTACTGCACGTTTTGGCATGCACCCATGTAAAGACTTTCTTCTGATTCTTAACACACATAACAGATAAACACTACACATGCATCTTTATGTGTTCATCTGCACTGTAATAAAATAAAGGCTGAGGGTAAGTTCACTGAAAGAGCATATGTTTTGCATGCACGAGGCCCTGGGTTCAACCCTCACACCAAAAAGTAAAATTTGGTCTTTTTACTTTACTGTAACAACCTACCCTTTATCACTCCAGCATGTCATTATCAGCAGGAGCATTTACATAGCTATCTAAGCAAATTCTTGTTTAGAGGCAGAATTTTTTTTAGTAACTTTGCTGTAATAGTAGCCATCATTATGCACGTATATGCGAGGCCTTAAGGGCTTTACATACATCACCTCATTTAATTGATCTAACCCTCAACAGTCCTATAGAATAAATGTTTTCTCCATGTATTAGGCTGTTCCCTGTTGAACATTTACATTATATCTGTGTTTCGTTTTTCTACTGTTACAAATATTACTGTGATCGCTGGGCATGGTGTCACACCCCTGTAATCCTGCACTTAGCAGGCTGAGGCAGGAGGATCACTTTGAGGTCAAGGCCAGCCTGGGCTACACTGTGAGACCCTGTCTCAAAAACAGACAAACCAACAAAATCACCCAAAATCAAATACTGCTGTGGTAACTCTTTGAGTACCACACGCATGGCTGTTTACTTCGGAAAACTCCTTGAAAGGGAGATTATCAGGGCAGACAGAGGCTCACTTTTTTTTTCTCTTGGTTCTGAAGAGAATTCAGGACCTTGCCCTTGTCAGGCAGGTGCCAGTACCACTGCCCAGAGACTCACATTTTTAAGACTTGATGGTGTGGCCTGCAAAACAGCCTTCCTGTTACACTCCCATTAGCTCCCTGAAAAGTCCCATTTCCCCAACCCTTTTTAGTAGTAAATACATCTTTGCTGATTTGATAGGTAAGAAGTTGTTTATTCTGATTAATTTTTTCATGTTCTTATGAGTATATTTTTCATTTCTGAATTGCTTCTGCCTTTTTTTTTTTTTTTTGGAGACAAGGAATGAGTATGTAGCCCAGGCTGGCCTCAGCCTCCTGAGTACTGGGATTACAGGTGCACACTACCATGCCTGGCTTACTTCTGCCTTTTCTGTGTCCATCTTTCTATTGCAATGCTTGACCTTTTTATTGTCCATAAAAGCTCTTTATATATTGAATACACTGGGCCTTGTTTATTGATATTGAAACACTTCCCCTCAGTCCGTCATCTGTCATTAAACATTATAGTACGTACTCACGTGGGTAAGGGACTTGGGTGCTGGATTTAGACACTGCTGGCTCTGCCCCTCTGCTCACCATCTGGAGGCTTTTTATTCCTTGGTATTAAGAATGACAGCAGGGGCCGGGGATTTAGCTCAGTGGTGCTGTTGCCTGCCTCGCAAGCACAAGGTCCCGAGTTTGATCCCTGGTACCAAAAAAAAAAAAAAAAAAAAAAAAAAA